AAATTTTAAATATGCTTGGGTCTAGTGAAGGAAGAGCTATAAACTTGAATAGCCTGCAAATTAGGGCAAGATTTGTTTGTGGGTATGGGAGCTTAGGAGATTGCATAGGGAATGTAGAAAACTAGGTGCTCTATATTAAAGATAAGGTACTGTGTCACTTGGATTGGTTTAATAAAATGCTGATTGGCCAGGAGCCAGGTAGGAACTATAGGCAGTGCGACCAGGATAGAAAACTCCTGGGAAGCAAGATGAGGATGCCTCACTGACCTCACTGATAAAAGGTATCAAGCCACGTAGCTAACACAGACAAGAACTGTGGGTTAATTTAAGATGTAAAAGTTAGTTAATAAGAATCCTGAGCTAATAGGCAACCAGTTTATAATTAATGTAGGCCTCTGTGTGTTTCTTTGGAACTGAACAGTTGTGGGACCAGGTGGGACATAAACCTCTGTCAGCAATAAGGGATGGAACAGTTCTTTCAAGGAGAAACCCACTTCACAAGTTTCTGAGGAATGCTGATTTTAGGCTTTTATCTGCTAGCAATTTTTCTGTTTACCCAGTTAGGGTCCAGTCTGAGTTAAGTTCAGACTGTCGTTTACAACATTGTCAGTAGCACCACCATTTTGGAGGACCAATTTGGGCTAACACTTAAGTCATGGATATAGAATGCAAACCATTGTAAATAAAAAATATTGTGTGGCAGTAGAGAGGGGAATGTGATATCCACGGATGAGCTACTGTGTCCCCACATAGCCAGGTGTATTATGGGATACATGGCAGTGGTATAAGGAGTATAGTCAGCTCAGCGTAGGGCAGTCTGCTGTGTCTTCAGGTTCTAAATCTGAAGGTTCAATTGATCATAGATCAAAACTTGACAAAGCTGAATAGGTGTCATTGTTTCATAAGACTACACACTACAGTGCATTAGCTATCCTGGGCATTCTATAAATGATCTGAAATAGATATATGGTTTAGATTGTTTTCAGAAAATGCTATTGCAGAATTAAGAGACAAAAATTATCAGGTTTTGGTGCATGTAGGGGTAGGGATTTGGAAGGTAGTATTGGAATCAACCTCCTACGCATACAGAGAAAGAACTCTACTCCTTAATCTTTCACTGCACATAAAGTTTGGGGTATAGTCTTGATAGTTAAGACAGTGATGTGTGGGGAGTGGAGGAAACCATGAGTGAGTGAAATACTGAGTGAATATGTGTTGACAGGGCCTTGAGTTCAGAGAGACAGCAAAGTCACCGTTGAGTGTAAGTGCTGAGAGTTGTGCAGAAAGAAAGTGTCAACCATGGCTTTCTCCTGTACGCCAGGTGTTTACAGACGACAGACAGCTCCCCTCCAGGGACTTGTGATGTGGGATGTCCTGGTTTTTGTTTTTGTCATTTATTGGTTAATGAATAAAGATATTTGTCCAATGGCTTAGCAGAGTAAAGCCACGAGGGATATCTGAACAGAGATACAGAGAAAAAGAAGGCAGTCAGGTCAGACTCTAGCCAACCACAGAGGAAAGAAGACATGCAGAAAATGTGGTAACACCACAGCCACATGGTGATATGTAGACTAATACAAAGTGGGTTAACTGAAGATAGAAGAGGCAGCTAAAAGTACACCGGCCAATCAGTATCATAATTAACATATTTTCTGTGTGATTATTTGGGTCGAGGCATATGGGAACAAAAGTAGTTTCCAGTTACAAAATGGCTTCCAATGTGGGGTAATTTATAGTCACATAAAGCCTAAAAAAGCTTTAAAAAGTGCTTCTTTTTTTTTTAACTTTTTTTTTTATTGAGAAAAGGAGAAAAAAAAAGTTTCCTCCTCCTCCCAGCCTCCCATTTCCCTCCCCCTCCTCCCACCCTTCTCCCCCTCCTCCCACCCTTCTCCCCCTTTCCATTCCTCTCCCCCTCCCTCTCCAGTCCAAAGAGCAGTCAGGGTTCCCTGCCCTGTGGTAAGTCCTAGTTCCTCCCCCCTCCGTCCATTTCTAGGAAGGTGAACATCCAAACTGGCTAGGCTCCCACAAAGCCAGCACATTATATAGGTTCAAAACCCCGTGCCATTGTCCTTGGCTTCTCATCAGCCCTCATTGTTCGCCATGTTCAGAGAGTCCAGTTTTATCCCATGCCTTTTCAGTCACAGTCCAGCTGGCCTTGGTGAGCTCCCAAGAGATCAGCTCCACTGTCTCAGTGGGTGGGTGCACCCCTCGTGGTCCCGACTTCTTTGCTCATGTTCTCCCTCCTTCTGCTCCTCACTGGGACCTTGGGAGCTCAGTCCAGTGCTCCAGTGTGGGTCTCTGTCTCTGTCTCCATCCATCACCAGATGAAGGTTCTATGATGTTATGCAAGATATTCGTCAGTATTGCTATAGGATAGGGTCATTTCAGGTTCTCTATCCTCAGCTGCCCAAGGAACTAACTGGGGACCTCGGCTTGGGCATCTGGGAGCCACTCTAGGTTCAAGTCTCTTGCCAACCCTAAGGTGGCTCCCTTAACTAAGAATTGTGCTTCCGTGCTCCCCTATCCAACCTTCCTTTATCCCAATCATCCTTTTTCCCCAAGTTCCCCCCATTCTCCCCTTCTCCCTTTTCTCTCCCCATCTCCCCTTACCCCCATCCCGCCCCACCCCCAAGATCTCAATTTTCTCCCCGGCAATTTTGTCTACTTCCCATAGCCAAGAGGACAACTATATGTTTTTCCTTTGGTTCACCTTCTTACTTAGCTTCTTTGGGATCACCAATTGTAGACTCCGTGACTCTTGTTTATGGCTAGAAACCAATTATGAGTGAGTACATCCTATATTCATCTTTTTGGGTCTGGGTTACCTCACTCAGGATAGTGTTTTCTATTTCCATCCATTTGCATGCAAAATTTGAGAAGTCATTGTTTTTTACCGCAGCGTAGTAATCTAATGTGTAGATATTCCACACTTTCTTCATCCATTCTTCCATTGAAGGGCATCTAGGTTGTTTCCAGGTTCTGGCTATTACAAATAATACTGCTATGAACATAGTTGAACAAATGCTCTTGTCATATGATAGGGCCTCTCTTGGGTATATTCCCAAAAGTGGCATTGCTGGGTCCAGGGGTAGGTTGATCCCGAATTTCCTGAGAAACCGAAACACTGATTTCCAAAGTGGTTGCACAAGATTGCATTCCCACCAGCAATGGATGAAGGTACCCATTCCTCCACAGCCTCTCCAGCAAAGGCTATCATTGGAGTTTTTTATTTTAGCCATTCTGACAGGTGTAAGATGACAGATCTTGAGAGGACAATAATCAACTTTATATGGAAAAACAAAAAACCCAGGATAGCCAAAACAATCCTATACAATAAAGGATTGTCTGGAGGCATTACCATCCCTGACTTCAAACTCTATTATAGAGCTACAGTGATGAAAACTGTGTGGTACTGGCATAAAAACAGAGAAGTCGACCAATGGAATCGTATAGAAGACCCGAATTTTAACCCACAAACCTATGAACACCTCATTTTTGATAAAGGAGCCAAAAGTATACAATGGAAAAAAGAGAGCATCTTCAACAAATGGTGCTGGCATAACTGGATGTCAACCTGTAGAAGAATGAAAATAGACCCATATCTATCACCATGCACAAAACTCAAGTCCAAATGGATTAAAGACCTCACTATCAGTCAGAACACATTGAACCTGATAGAAGAGAAAGTGGGAAGTACCCTACAGCAGATGGGCACAGGAGATCGCTTCCTATGTGTAACCCCAACAGCACAGACATTAAGGGCAACACTGAATAAATGGGACCTACTAAAACTGAGAAGCTTCTGTAAAGCAAAGGACACTGTCACCAAGACAAAAAGGCAACCTACTGACTGGGAGAAGATCTTCACCAACCCCGCAACAGACAAAGGTCTGATCTCCAAAATATAAAGAGAACTCAGGAAACTAGACTTTAAAATGCTAATTAACCCAATTAAAAAATGGGGCATTGAACTGAACACAGAATTCTCAGCAGAGGAAGTTCAAATGGCCAAAAGACACTTAAGGTCATGCTCAACCTCCTTAGCGATCAGGGAAATGCAAATCAAAACAACTTTGAGATAAAAAGTGCTTCTGACCACAAAATAGGTTTCATTAAAAAGATGAGAGGGGTGGGAAACTAAAATAGTTTTTATTAACAGGAAATCTGAACAAAATACTGTTTAATACTTGTATCATATTGATTTTAGCAAGCTAGTCTTCTCCAAAAAAATACTGTGCTTCTGACTCTATAATTACAACTGTTGGTGAAAATATGAGGATGTTATTATCAATCAGCAATGCTCGCTGAGCATTATTTATCACTTTCAGTGCCATGGGTTACAAATTTGAGTTGAGTGGGGAAGGAAAAGGACTCCGGGGTCATCAATGCCCTTCATGGTCATCTGGTCCTAGGTCTCTTTATTGTCAAGAGAAAATAACGTTAGTTCTGTTGCTGAGAAGGAGTGTGAAGGTGAAACTTGGATGTTTTTAAAGTAACAGAAATAACTGAGGCTAAGGCTATGTAATTGTGATAATCCTCTGGAAATGACATTTGAGAGGTTTACCTTGTTTTGACCTCCTTTGTTACAGGCTTTGCAGTATGAATTTTTAGGACAAACTATTATCCAGGATTCAATACAGAAAAAAGCAGTGGCTGTCCCACCTATGTAATATAAGCTTGCACTCAGGGTTCTCATGGATGTGTGTGTATTACTGTGCAATGTTAAAGGTTCCTGGGTGGAGAGCTAACACACATCCTCTCAAGGTCAATAGTCTATGTCTGTCACCTGCAAAGTGAAGATCCATCCTTCTGTGCAAAGAAATACACCTCAACATCAAAGACAGACATTAGCAGGGTAAAAGGTTGGAAAAAATTACAAGCAAATGCACCTAAGAAGCAAGCTGGCGTTGCCATTTTAATATCTATTTCTAGTGAACAAAAACATTAAAACCAAGTCTGGAGAATGAAAAAAGAAAAATAAAAAAGAACCACACTAATTGTTCAATACCAGGAATGAGGTTAATGTGTTTTTATTTCTTATAAATTATACATTCATAATTTATTATTAAAATGTGGACACAATCAGTCATATAATACAACTTACATTATGTACTTTGCACATTATATACTTTGTATATTATGCACAGTAACATATGGCACATTCATGACTTAACATGAGGAAGGGGGAGTCTAAAATTGCAGTTGTGAAATATATGTGTGTCATGACTTAGAAGAGCCTTTAACGCTTTTAGTTATCACTGGACAGTATCTGTCCCTTTAATTTACCTTTGAAAACTTAAAATTGCTCAGAAGTCTTTTTCTTCTTGTTTATTCAACAGAGACCACTCTGTTGTGGAGCAAGGCGCTTTGTTAAGTACCTATTACCTTCCTGTCTCTGCTGTATAAAGCTCAGTTTGACCATACACACCACAGGAAAGGCAAGGTATGGATTCATCTTCCAAACTTAAAGATGACAAAGGAGGACTCATGTGAACCAGGTGTCCTGACATGATCGTATGGCTACTAAACACTGTCGGGGCAGAACCTCAGCAAAGCGTTCTCACTATGCTTCCTTCCAGCTTCTCCATGGGCTCTGGGTGGACTAGAAAGCCAGGCAGTTGCAAGTACACAAAGTTCTAGGAGGCTGAACTGTGAATGCTACACCTAAAAGATAACGTGGCACTGTGTGCAAATCATTTGTGCCACACACCTAAGTCTGTGTCTACCCATCTTCAGCTACGGCATTTTCTACTTTTTCTTCAGCCAGTCTCGTAGCCCAGGCTGCCCCTACACTGTTGATCCTTCTGCCTCTACCTCCCAGGTGCTGGAACTGCAGTCAGGTGCCATCATGTTCAGCTACAGCTCTTTTCTTGATCACAAGTCACCAAGGGCTGCTGTTTACTACATGAAATAGATACCATTCTCCCCAGAACAGCTTTGAAACTTCCTCAAACGGGGTATGTCTGAACTGTGTATTTTAGTGTTTCCCAGAGTAGCAAAAAAGAAACTACAGTTCTAATAGCCTGTAGTGCTAGTCAACTTGACAACACATCCTCTGTACACCTCCCTTTCCAGTCTTCCTCAGCCACACTATTATCCACTGTCCTGAAGGTACTTGCCCTTCAACTGTCTCATGTTGCAGCTCTAAGGGACCTGAGGAGTAAGATACCCGAGTGACAGCCTCAAGCACTGCTACTGGTTGGTTACAAGCACTTGCTGTCATAAGCAGGCTTGTTTCATTGTGTGCCCCATCCCGCACATACAGACATTTTCATAATCTAGGCTATTATTAATACTCTAATAAAGGGAAAACTTAATTGCTTTTAATTAGAAAATAGACAAATTTATTATATATGTAATCTTTATTAAGTCAAATGACCAGTATCCCCTACTTCTGAAATTCTAATTGCAGAGATTTGAACAATTCACTTCCTACTTACACCAACAGAGGGCAAGGTAGAGGAAAAAGATTAAACTGTATTCTTTGACTCAAGAAGAAAAAACCCAAACAAACCAAAAAACAAACAGATGGCACTCATGGGTAAAAGGAAAAGAATTTTGTACAATATTATAATAAAAGACAGTACGTAATATATATCATAAATACTCTCTAGGGACTGCAGTGAATATGTGGTGCATGATCAATAAACATGGATACCACATAACGGCCACACTTACAGTTGAAAGTTATTTTCATGTAACAGCAGGTATACACGATAAACATATAAACTCAATATGCAAGGAAGACAAACTTTATCAGGAAGGAAGAACTTGTTCACGGTACTCATAGAAGAGATGGAGATGAAACACGAAAATCCCATTAAAATCAGATGTTTCATTCATTAACTGACTTGTCAGCTCCTGTTTTCTTTGGAGACATGACTAACATAGTCTAGTAATTAATACAAGAATGTAAGACAAGCACTAAAAATAGGGTTTCTCTACTGGTTCTAGAGCTGAGGGCAAATCACCCGTCCTCAACTATATCCTTCTTATCCCTTCATACGACACACAGTATGTTTGGAAAACCACCACTTCTAGTTGAGAACAGACTTTTACAGAGATAGTGGAAGCCTCCCTCTTCTACTAATGCAAACTCTACCTGATGCTTTCTGAAAGCAGATGGGACTTGCAGCAAAAAAAAAGTCTTTTAATTAAAGCAAACTTTGTTTGTATTATAAATTCTATTCTGACATACTGGACGAAGAATATCTGAGACCATGTCTCTGAAAAACTATGACTTTTGCTTTATGATTCATAATGAATTTCAAAACGAAGTCTCATTCTTAAACAGTTGCTTAACTGAACACTGCACACTAAAGTAACATTTAATAAGTTGGTTCTACTAGAGAGCTTTGAATATTGAGTTTCAAATAAACTGAGACATGAAAATATTCACACTAAAACTGTTCTAAATCAAATTTTGTGTGACTTTAAGGAACCATACAATTCTCCTTTGTTGTAGTTAGAGACACTATTTGGAGATTTTCTGGGGCCATTTTATAGAGCTAAACAATACAAAAAACCAAGAAATACAGCTAGTCCCACAGATATCAGTTATGAGAAAGTAGGCAAAAAAAAAAAGAGTGCAGTTTTAACATCTTAACTATTGATACAAACTCCAGCACAATGGGGACATGGCCACACTATGGTTTATCCGTATGGTTTAAAGTTTACAAGTAGAGGGCGCCGGAAATGCACAACCACATAGTTCCGTCAGCATGGGAAGAAATGCCCTCCTTTCCTTCTACACACTGGCTAAAAATGGCAATGCTGACTTGTGGCAGGAAGTGTACTCAGGAGTCTTTACAGTTCCAGCTTTAAAAAGCTACTTCATTGTCTCCTGAACAGAATTAGGCAGGGCAGCAATTGGGCGTACTTCTCAACATACTTTCCAGTTTTTTTTTTTCTTGGTTCAATATTTCAAAGTCAGATCTGTCATGTGAGGAAGTCTTCCTTCTTCCATCCATAGAAAAGTTTATAGAAAATAAAATCAAGTGCAGAAGATTAATGATTAGTTATAAAGACCAGCATCATATGATTATCAGGCATAAATAATGTACTTGTTATGGCAAATCCACTCAGAACCACACAGTGGATTACCACATGTAGATCCTGGCACCCCCGTTTCCGTCTCCGACTTCTAGGTCCACTGCAGACTGGAAGGAGGGGGAGGACTTCTGGGTCTCACTGTCATCTGAGGATGCTGACCTGAAGAGGGCACTGCATCATCAGCTCCAACACTCCAACTGCTGGTGCACTGCATTAGCAGATCCATCTGTTATCTGTTCCCTGTGACCTCAGTCGCCACCTGTCTGCCATCATTAAAAAAGAAGAAAAATAACTGTTACCATTCAGGTGATGCATACACAGAAGTTATCTTAGAAAATCTGGGATCAAATAACGTTTACAGTTAGAAAAGACTCGACAGAAACAGCAGTCCCTAGCAATCCTTGTCATTGGAGTCCCAGCATGACAGTCACATATGGACAGCCAGGCTTTCCCATCATCACTTGGTCCCCACAATCAAAGGGTGGGGTATGAGGAGCCATACTTTCACATCATGCTTTGGTCTGCGCTCTCAGAGGAAGAAAATCTTTTCTTTGCAAAGGTTACAGAAGGTGACTACTATGACATTTCATAGAATTAAGACTTTCTCTTTCAAAAAGATCAAAAAATTGGGACAAAGTAAATGAAAACATTATGACTGTCTTTAAAACATTTTAAAACTATTTTTCTTTATTGAAAACAGATTTTCTTCATACAATATATTCTGATTACTATTTCCCCTTCCCAAATCTCTCATCTGAATCCACACCCTTTGTGACTCTCCTTAGAAAACAAGCATCTAAAGGATGGTAATAAAGAAAACAAAGACAAACAAACTGGAATAGGACAAAATAAATGAAGAAAAAGAGCCAAAGAAAAAGCACAAGAAACATATACACACATCTGTACACACAGGAATCCCATAAAAACATACAACTGGAAGCTCTAATATATGGCAAAGAACCTGTAAGATAAAGACAAATGGCCATCTATTGTTGTGAGGTATCCACCAAAGAAGACTACTTGGACAGTCAAGCCACAGAAGTCTTTATTAGCCTGATACAGATTGCACTGGGTTTTCAGGACCAGAGTGTAGTCCTGAGCCTTTCTCAGAGTGGGCTTTTAACTACAAAAACCACATCCTGAGTTGACACACCCCAAACTCCAATTAGCCAGAGGCCAAGAAGTACATCCCATCTAGGGATGTACTGTGGACTTCGATGGATTAGGTCTTTGCTCTAATTCTGTCAGGTGTCGCTGCCTACACACCAGGTTCCAAGGTCTAAACGGCATTTCCATCACAGCATTAGTTGTGCTAAGGTCTTGGGGCCTGTAACATTACTGCTGGGAATAGGGCCTACCCTTAAGTCACTCGTCTTCAGTATTACCAAAAAAAAACTGTCACTAGCAAATCTACACAGAACAAAACACCCTGCTCGCCAACAGCATCAAGGAGTCTTCCATACCTCATGTCTCTTCCAGCTCCACAATCTCGTGCCTTATGATCAACACCTGGGACTGGGACGCCATACTGCAATGGAATGTTCCATTCCTCTGTTCATGCTCTTCCCAGGCTGCAGGAGACCACAATTCAGAGGACCACACTACTCAGGGTTTGCTGCTAAACAAACAAACAGTAATGTTTTCCTATTGAACATTATGATCTGAAACACTTTCTAAGTGGTTTCAGCATTTAGAGAAAAAGTCATGGTCTGGTTGGAGAGAACTAAGCTACATTTTCACCAGTGAACATGCTATCTGAAGTCTTCAAACGTACACACCCCTACAGTCAGACACTACATTAAAAAAAAAAATTCCAAAGAACACTTTTTATATGTGAAGTGTTTTGGCTACTAAGATATTCATTTGGAGTGCTAATTTTTAAAGAATGGTGACATGAAAAAATCAATAGATAGGAAACTGCTTAAATATATTGTTTATCCACACAACAAGTTTCTAAGGTGATACCAGAAATTATACTGTAAGAATACACTTAAGAAAACAGATTATACTCACAATGTATATTAAGTAACAAAGCAGTATGAAAATAATGTTCTCTAACTCCATTACTTTGTATAAAAATATTACATATATGCCTTAAAATCATGAACTGAAGACTTCTTGAATACAGCATGTCTGTTGTCTTCCCATTGAAACAACTGTCCAAAGCTCTATTTTTAAAGAAGTGGTATGTGTGTAGAGTGTGCACATAAAATATAAATATGCCAGGTGAGACGGACTGCCTGTGCACATGCATGTGGAAGCCACAGGTCACTATGGCTGAGAAGAGATCTCTCCCTAACCCTGAGCTTGTTATCTGGCTGGCGAGTCCTGGCATCTGCCCATTCCATCTCACTGCCTGGCTTTTATGTTGTTGCTGGGAATCTCAACTTGGGTGCTCATGCCTGCCTATGCAGTAAGCACTATTTTATCAAGTCATGTCTACAGCCCTTAGAAGTGTTTTTAAATTTTTATTTAGTTGTATTTCATATATATTGGTGTTTGCCTGCATGTATGTCTGTGTGAAGGTGCCAGATCCCCTGAAACTGTTATGAACAGTTGTAAGCTGCCATGTGGGTGCTGGAAATTGAACGTGCGCCCTCTGGAAGACAGCTTGTGCTCTTAACCACACTGAGCCATCTCTCTAGGCCCATGTATCTTTTAAGAACCAATTTTTGTAAACTTCTATGAAAATGAAAATTCCAATGCCCTAAAATTTTTAAGGTCATACAGCAAAAGAAAAAATCATTAAAAAATAAATAAACCAAGCAAACAAAGGCAGGCAAACCCTGCTTAGCTCTCTGCTAGCATGTTAAGACCTTAGTTCCCCCCTTCTAGGCCTTTGCATCAGCTGCCTATTCCTAGAAACACTTTCACCAGGGACCCTCAGTAGCCACACTGGCCTGGGACTCAGGTAGGAGATTCTCACTATCCTTCCTGAACTCCATTACAGTCCTGCCTTAACTTATTCCTGTAGCAGCCCTCCCACTCCAATACCAATCACTGGGACCACTTCTAGCCCTTCCCTGCTTTCAGAAGCCCACCATCCAACCAAAGGTCCACTCCCTGGGGACTCAGCCTCCTGGTGCAGAACCCACGCCCCCAGCTTTTGCCCTAACCTACTCTCATGTGGTCTTGCTTCTAGCCCATCTCCATTCCCTCTGCCACCCGCTGACCTGCAGAAGATCTCTCTACTAGGGACCCACAACCACCACACTCTCCCTAGGATCCAGATAGGACAACAGTAACCAAAGACTGCAACAGTCACCCAACAAAGACAAAACTAGATATCAACACCAAGAAAAATTTCAAACATCATAACTCCAGAAGTACAAAAGACACAAACATGAACAGCCAAGACAATATGCTTCCACCAGAAGTCAGTAATTTGTTTTGTGGCTTCATAGCAGGTCCTGAGAAATACAATATAGCTGAAGCACAAGGCAAAAAACAAACAAACAAACAAAAAACCCTACTGTAATTGAACACTGCATACAAGCTGAGACAGGAGATGGGAAGGATGGGAAGTGGATACCAGTCAGGGTGGGCATGAAATCCAATTGAGCCCTCTGTACTAGACTCCATCCATCATCTGCTGAAGATCATACTCAGTGTTTGGTGCCAAGTCTGGCCATGCTCCATGATGACTGCCTCGGTCCCTCCTAAAGATGATTAAGCCACAGACCAGTTCATTACTACCCTGGTCAAAACCAAACAGTGACTTCACCATGCAGGGGCAAAGGAGAGCGGGCTAATGGAGCCCAGTTCTCCCCTCACAGCCATGTTTCAGAGATTTCTGACTCCAAACAAAAGTGCTTTTCTAAGAGCACTTGGGTCAGCAACACCCTTGTCAGCAAGAATTCATCTTTAGAATTAGGCACTTTCCAGAGCAGAAGAGGGGCTCCAGGTTGACAACAGCACTAAATAGAAGAAAACAAAAAACCAAAAGACTTTTGTTTACAAAGTAGTGCAGGACTGACTGTACCAGGGACATTGAAGGCCTCAATTCTGCATGCAGCATGTACTGAGTAATCAAGGTAGGTAAGTTCTTTTAAATAAGATACTTGAATATCACTCAATGCTTTGCAAAGGATCTCTCCAAATCTGCTGACTACGGAAACAATGCTGGTATTTACAAAGGATGAGTTCTCACTAAACTAAGTCTTAAATGTTAGATTATACACACACACACACAACATGCTGGTACTTTTAAAGGATGATTTCTCACATAAATTAAATCTTAAATGTTAGATAACACACACACACTATCTAAATTAAACAAAATAGCTTAACTTAAAAAATCTTAGTTAATATAAAATAGTTAAGTGTTAGGTTGGGGACAGGCACGGAGGCACGCTTAAATTCCATCACTTGCGAGGCAGAAGCAGGTGGATCTCCGTGAGTTTGCGAGGAACCTGCTCTATGTAGCAAGTTTCAGGCCAGCCAGAAGTATATAGTGAGACTGTCTCAATTATGATGCCATAAAAAGAAAAGAACAAGTGCTAAGTTAAAACAAACCAAGAGAATCAAAGCTTTTTTATTTTGAAAGTAATTTCCATTTATTATAAGATTTAAAGTATAGATAGATAGGTAGGTAGGTAGATAGATAGATAGATAGATAGACAAACAGACAGATTCTTTGCAAGCTCTTGCTACACGTGAAATATGAACTAAGTTAGAATAAAGTACCTTACTCTTGACACGTAAATATTCACTAAAAACCACTCCTGGTACGCAGCTCTAGTCTGCCCTGTTAATTCAAAGCAAAAACAGTGGAAGTGGAGAGGAAAAGAAGAACAGTCAGGTAAGCCAGTGACAAGGACAGTACTGTCAGCATTCCCTGTGTTCAGGAAAATCTCCATTTAAGGCACCTTTACAAATAGGCACCTGCAACTTTTTTTTTAAACAAAAACATTGACTAGGCATATGTAGTAACTTGGATAAATGAAAAATCACAGGAAAGATACAGCATTAAGGCTCAAAACTGACTCAATGAAAAATAAATTCGATATTCTAAAATAAACATTTTTCCTACTTTCTTGATTTCTATTTGAAAGATGGAGTACTGTGCACAAAAGACAAAGACAGTGATTTGAACTTAGGGTCTCTCAGGATGAACAGCAGAGCACATGCAAAAGAACAAGGCCAGAGGGGAGAAAAATAATGTAGTCCTGAAACTCGATTAACTTCCTTAACAACTGCAAAGCTCAGTTCCCAAACATGTGGGACTACGTAGAAAACAAAGTGTATTAAGCAACAAGGTAATAATTAAGGATGACTTCCCCACTGAATGAGGCAGCAAAACAGAAGGAAATTATTGACCTTGGAAGTATTCTTGCTGTTTGGATCAATCAATGCCTTCTGCACTAGTAGAAAGTTTTCTGATTGCATGTAATTTTCACCTGGTATAAACAGCACACAAAATGTTATTTAATTGGTCCAGGTTGTGATTGGGTCTAGAATCAAATGTATACTCTGGATAAAACAAAGTACACAAATCTTCACAAGGTCTCCTTAGGATTGAAGTTAAACACTTCTTACAAATGAAAGATTTCTAAAGGCCAGAATTTTATGTATTCAAAGATTTAATATTCTCACATTCACTCAAAGTGAGGCCCAGGAGACTAGGTGTTGCCAAAGCTGGGTCTTAATGAAATCACTTTCATTCCCAACTTCTATCTAACACAGTATTAACCAAGGACTCTGTCCCCCTTCCCACCAAGGTCACTCAACAGCCACGCAACCAATCTCCTTCCCTGGCTGCTGACTCTTTCTGAACGGCACTGGGATATGAAAACACTGGGAAAAGACTAAGAAATTCCTGTGCCATCTATCTTTAAATATTATAACTTCCTTTTTCTCATTACATTATCTGAAATTGAAACTCGATTGAAATAATAGTCAATAGGTACAAAAATATAAACTACTGGCCTTTTGTTGTGACAGGATGACCCAGAACCAAGTATTAAAGAACTGAGCTTCCACAGCCCGTACCTACAGTGCAGCAGGGTGGCCCGGGGTAAAATACTTGCTGTCCGCACTGTGACCAGAACCCACATGGTGCAAGGAGAGACCTGACTCCTGCAAGTTTGTTTTTTGACTTCCAGGTTAGTGTACATGCTAGTGTGTACACACCTCCAATTAAAAAAAAAAAACAGTTCTCACTGAACATTAAAAAGATGTCGACCATTTCAACAGTGCTGGCTTTTTCTATCTATTTCATGACACCTCACTATCGAAAATTGCTTTCTATATGTAAGAGACAGGTTCCCAGGTATTGGAGGTTGACCATGAAAATCTGCTATGTAGAGGAAAGAGGTAATCTTGAACTTCTAATTCTCCTGTCTCCACTTACAGGCATGCTCGTAATGCCTGGTCCATGAGGACTGCTTTCCTGAGCATCAGCATCCCACATTTTCTTAACTTCTTTGATGAGGATGTGTTTGTGAAACATGTGGTCTTTCTTATCAAAAACAATCATTTTTAATACAAGGTGGCCAAATAACAAACACAAATATTTATTAATGAGAAGATAATAACAATTAAATTTTCTATATTACTTAACAAATACTTACAAGTATTTTTGGAAGGCACTTAAGTCATCCAATTAAGTGCCAAAGATGAGCTATGCCAACTGAGAGTGTGCCACAAACAGTGAAGAACATAACAGCAAAGCTACAGAGGTCTTTGGCACAACATGACATGCTTGTGAGAGCTGGCTCATGGTCCTGTTAGAACATGAATTTGAAGAGCTGCAAAAGAGAGGGACAATATTATAAGACGAATGGACAACACAATGTGGTCTAAACTCACACTTGAATATAATTCTACCGTAACAGAAATAGATGTGACCTTAAAACCATGTCAATTGACATATACGTATCACAAAAAGCCAAGTGTTGTATGGTTTTACATGATGCATTTAGAGTTACTCGTTGATTCACAAGAAACAAAATAGTGAGTAAAGAGACTGGCACCAGGAGAGCATGAGAAGCTGTGGCTAACATATATGATAAAGAAACAAGAAAATCTCACAGGCTGCCAAGAAGAAATCCAAAGCTGTAATGTAGCAGATCACCTTAGACCATACTGCCTGGCAACCAGCAATCTACATTATAATTAAATCACAGCAATGGTTAGACTCAGGAAAGGCAGTCCACCTATTGTCCTTCTATTACAAGGCTTAAAAAACAAACGACAACAAAAACACCCTGCCACCACAAGTTACATCAACCTGTTGAAATCATCATTACTCCACATAGGAGAATGGGCTATGAATGAAGTTAAGACTTCATAAGGCTCTCTAGCCTTAAGTACTATTTCCTTCTTAGGATGTGTACAGACCCTAAGATCTACATACACATATACAAATAAACATATGTATGTATCTTAGGTTATCAAAATAAAATATGTGTATATATTTAACTTATCCTTCAATTACTGTATAATTTTAAATAAAAAATTAATCAACAAATAAGCCTTTCTAGGAGCTGTGTGGCATTCAACAAACAAGAAAACATAAGTCTTGGACTCAAACATGTGACTGGATTGAAAACTAGCATATGCGGTATTAGGTTACCACTGTGGCATTTCTCAACAATTTGTCTTAGTAGATTCTCCTTCCCCTTTCATCTCTCTCAGCTCCCCGCTTCCCTCAACCCTGCTTAGTCCTCCGCCCGTCTCTCCCAATTTCAGTTGCAGGAGTCCTTTTCCAGCACTCCAATTTCTCACTTTGTGTTTTTGATATACAAAGTATGGACTGGATCACTCACTCCGTGAGCAACATCATATCACAAAGTTTGCCTCCAGGATAGTTTCCTCCCCTTCCCAGGGCTTCACAGTTCACAGTCCTCAAAGCCTGCATTGTTTGAAACACCGCTGACAGCCACAATGATGGCATTCATCTTCTGTGCTATAATTTAACGGGAAGTTGTTCTTAAAAGGTTCCCACTGTGGAGCTGGCCTACTGAGACGGTGAGATGAAGCACTCAATGGCACCATCTCACCACCAAATACAACACCCGAGCTGCAGAATTTGGCAACATCTCACCATCAAAATAAAACACCCAGTTGCAGAATGTGTCAGTTTCTAAATTTTTCCATCAGTATTACCATTGCCTCCATTTCGGGACAAGTGGCCACACCTGGAAGCTGGCCTTCCAGAATCCATGTAAACTCTAACAGTAGCCATTAAGACAGGAGCTGTGGTAAATGAGAATTCCTCTCTTCTGCCAAATCTTCCATTCTTTCTTTACTAGTTAACTTGTGAAATGTATTTTTCAACCATTACATGTGACAGCCTCAGAGTGAACACAAAAGAGAAGAAAGTGACTTATGTACCCTAAGACACTTCTTTAGGGCATATTGTGGCACTGGATCTGTCAACTACATCCAGAAACCGACAAACTGTAAAGTCATGGACGACTTGCCCTGATTATGTTCACCCTTAAAATCCTGTAAGAGAGAGACATACTCAAGTCATTCTTTGACTTTGAGTTGTCACTTATCTGCCTATCATTCTCCTGTTTGGAATTTCACAGGAATCATTGGAAAAAGCCTGACAGTAATTTCAATACACTTTGATTCATCTTAGTAGTTCCAACTGGACATTAAAGCAGAGCTGTTTAATGTGAAAACTTCTGACAAAGTATACATAATTATGAGACTGTATATGTAGGTAATCCATGTGAGTGATGTTCAAGTATTACAACATGATAGAGAACCTATGGCAACTGTGAATATTCCTTGCTTTGCTTGACATTTTGCTCTCTTGTAGAAGCACTCTTTAGTTAAGGTACAACACAGTTTATTTTGTTTACTGCCCATCCACCATCCATCTTAAAGCAAGCTGTGTGGGAAAGGGTCTGTGTTTCCCACTGACATGTCCCAAGAGCCAAGAACAGTACCCACACAAATACTTTTTATCTAAGAAGCACAAATGCATCAGCAAACAAGAGTTCCCAGAGAAGCTAGTGAAGTTTGTTTCCTCACTGCCTCCCAGAGTGGTCATGGCAACACCATCAAAGTTTATGAAAGAACTTTGTTTTTTGGGAGATTCTTAAGCATAAGCAAGCAACTACCAATTCCCTCAATTCTCTGACTGTGTCCTGAAAGTCTGGCTGTCAACTGTGAATGGAGAAAAGAGGGAAAGGAGGCATGGATAAAGCAGAGAAACAAGGGTGAATGTACTGATCACCCAGCAATGGCTAAAGGCAGTTGCAAGGAGAAAAAGTGCCGTTTCTAGGAGTGAACTGGATTAGCTTTTTTGTTTTGAGCACTTGCATGTTCATGTATATGGGTGCATGCAGAAGTCAGAGGTCTAGTCTAGCATGGATGTCATTCCTCAGGAGCTATTCATCTTACTGTCTGAGACAGGGTCTCAATAGAACCTGAGGCTAGCTAAACAGGCTAAGGTGACAGGCCAGTAAGGGCCAGAGCTTGTTCTGTGTCTATCCCCACTCGCTCTCCTTCCCCTGATGTGGGATGTCCTTCTGTATATGTGTTCATTTTATTGCTTAATGAATAAAGCTGTTTTGACCAATGGCTTAGCAGAGTAAAGCCAGGCAGGAAATCCAAACAGAGATAGAGAGTAGGTGGAGTCAAGGAGATGCCATGTAGTTATTGAAGGAGAAAGACACAGGAACTTTACCAATAAGCCAAAGCCTCATGGTGATACATATGAATGAGTTAAGATATAAGAGTTAGTTAATAAGAAGCCTGAGCTAAGAGGTCAAAAAGTGTTGTAATTAATAAAGTTGCTTGATGGGGAACCTTCAGCCAATGAACCTTTAAGAGCCTGGACAAGGCTGGGGTGTGACCTTTTGGGTACCCAGAGAAAACCAGCCATCTGCCCAGCTATCTCTCTTTCTTGTTCCCGCACTCTACACCTTGAAGTTGGACTTCCCATTCCTGTTCTGTGAGTTTTTCCCTTACAATAAAGAATAATATTACAATCTTTTGGAGTTAGCCTGGGATTGTTTGACTTGCAGTTTCCCCCCCTTATACACATTTAGTTACAGTTTTTGTGTGATTATTCAGGTCTGGGCGGCTGGGAAAAAACGCAGTCTCTGGTTACACTCCCCACTGCTGGGATTACAAGTGTGTGCTACCATGCCTGGCTATTTCTGTGGCTTCTGGGGCTTGAACCTGGATCAACAAGCTTCCTCAGTAAGCACTTTACAGCCGGAACTACCTCTACAGCCTCACCTCTACTTAAAATGTTCTTTGTTTGTGTGGTTGTGACAGTGTTTCATGTTGACTGGGTTGGCCTTACCTATGCTAAGTAGCTGAAGACTGAGGCTTATGAGCCCCTGCTTTCACTTCCCAGGGACAGTATTACTGGCAGAAATCACCATGACCCATTTAAGTAATCCTGCCGCCGATCAAGACAGATCTGTGCATGTTTTATACATGCTAGACAAGCATTCTATAAACTGAGCTACATCCTCAGCACCCTGGATTTAAAGTCCTCTATAAATCACAATATTCTTCTATCTGTTTGCCAAATACTCTTATCCTATCAATCATGCAGCTTCAACTCTCACCTTGCTGTTAGCCTGGATCCTTAATACTTTTTGTCTATGTAGTGGCAGGACGGGTATTTTTCCCTAGCCCATACTCACAATAGAAAGTGTCTATTTCCATCCATTTGCATGCAAAATTCAAGAAGTCATTGTTTTTTACTGCTGAGTAGTATTCTAATATGTATATATTCCATACTTTCTTCATCCATTCTTCCATTGAAGGGCATCTAGGTTGTTTCCAGGTTCTGGCTATTACAAATAATGCTGCTATAAACATAGTTGAGCATATACTTTTGTTGTATGATAGGGCATCTCTTGGGTATATGCCCAAGAGTGGTATTGCTGGGTCCAGGGGTAGGTTGATCCCGAATTTCCTGAGAAACCGCCACACTGCAAATGGACGGAAATAGAAAACACTATCCTGAGTGAGGTAAGCCAGACCCAAAAAGAGGAACATGGGATGTACTCACTCATATTTGGTTTCTAGTCATAAATAAAGGACATTGAGCCTATAATTCATGATCCTAGAGAAGTTAAATAAGAAGGTGAACCCAAAGAAAAACATATAGGCATCCTCCTGAATATTAACCTTCATCAGGCGATGAAAGGAGATAGAGACAGAGACCCACATTGGAGCACCAGACTGAAATCTCAAGGTCCAAATCAGGAGCAGAAGGAGAGCATGAGCAAGGAACTCAGGACCGCGAGGGGTGCACCCACACACTGAGACAATGGGGATCTTCTATCAGGAACTCACCAAGGCCAGCTGGCCTGGGTCTGAAGCCTGGGATAAAACCGGACTCGCTGAACATAGTGGACAATGAGGACTACTGAGAACTCAAGAACAATGGCAGTGGGTTTCTGATCCTACTGCACGCACTGGCTTTGTGGGAGCCTAGGCAGTTTGGATGCTCATCTTACTAGACCTGGATGGAGGTGGATGGTCCTTGGACTTCCCACAGGGCAGGGAACCCTGATTGCTCTTTGGGCTGACGATGGAGGGGGACTTGACTGGGGAAGGGGGAGGGAAATGGGAGGTGGTGGCGGGGAGGAGACAGAAATCTTTAATAAATAAAAAAAATAAAAATAAAAAAAAAGGAAAAAGAAAATGTCTATAGACAGCCAGCTAGAGACAGGAAGGGCGTAAGCCTGACCATACAGTACTGGTTGATGCTGGTGCTGCACATGAAAAATCACTAAAAGTTGACTAGGTGTTTCCGCCAGCTGTTTTTCTGAAGCTAGCAATGTGGGCATCTGTTCCCTCCTGGTTATTCTGACAAATCCAGGTAACAGCCTGCTCCACTGAGACTACTCTCCAGTGGTAACTCTTGTTGTCTCCTTCTACTTTCTACACAATATCACCTGTGTAGATCAACTAATTAAAAAGAACAGACAAACAAAAAACAAAAACAGGCAATAGAAACAGGTAAAACCATCAGAACACTTAAGTCTTGTATCAACTATAAATACTTGCTTCCTGGTGAATTAAGGTTTTTAACATAAATTTTTTTTCACTCTGGGTAAATATATATGATATGGTGATTTTTGTTTGCTTATTTGTTTGTTGTTTTTCGAGACAGGGTTTCTCTGTAGCTTTGGAGCCCGTCCTGGAACTAGCTCTTGTAGACCAGGCTGGCCTCACAGTCAAGAGATCCACCAGCCTCTGCCTCCCGAGTGCTGGGATTAAGGGTGCTACCACTGCCCAGCGATATGGTGATTTTTACTGAATCCTCAAGAGTTACTGGCCTTCAGAAATGAAGGTCTCAAGATTTAGGAATGTCAATTTAGTCCTTAAAAGTATGAGGAACCCACACCGGGGATTGTCTGTCCACAGTTTCCATGGCTACCTTCCCTGGTGTGACTCAGGGACTAGATGACACAATGCACAGGAAAGGCGCCTCCTTTTCAGCCTTTGTGTTTCCATGTGAAATATAGGACCCTTATCTCAGAGGTATTCTGTGAGGGAAGAGGAGGTCATCTATGAACAGGGTCTGGCATACAGTAGGAGCTGCACAGTTTCTTAGCAATGATGTGCGATGAAGTAGCACATAGGAAAAGGCACCGCAGATTGAGGATGTGCTTATGCTATCTAGGAACTAGGAAAAGGTGTTAGAAGATCAACACTGTTATCAACACACACAGAAAACATAACAAAACAAAAAAAACAGCTTTTGAGATCATTTAATACCTTTTCTCTAAAATTGACTTTTACTAAATTTCTGTCTAAACAATGCTAAATAGAGTATATACTGGGTAGTTGACATAATCTGGTCAACAAAAAAATGTATACCATAATGTAATTCAGATATAGGTACCATAAAATGATTTAGATATCCTCACAGAATCCAGGATATAGGGTTAAAAAAAAAGACTTTGTCCACGATTGCTCAGGGAAGAGACAGAAGAAGATACCAGGAGGTCCACTCTGAAATAGCCCGAGTGTGTTAAATTTCTTTGGATTGTCTTCAATAATTCTAAGAATAAGTACCTTCACCAATGCAAAAGGTATTTAAAGCAAGGGTATCAAAATGGACAAGCCCCCTGCAGATATGCCCTTGTACAATAGGAACTTAGTATCATTAGCCTAAACTAGAGAAGCATAGGTTTTCTATCAGACAAAAAGAATGAGTCCTCAGCAGCTCACACTTTAACAGAGGGAAGGTGGCAGATGAGAGCTATCCAGTGCATTCATGCAGCTCCTAGAGAAAAGCTGAACTGCAGGCAGATGGCTTCGGGGACAGGAGGGTAGTGCAGAAAGAAAAGGGAGTACAAAATCAGACAGAATTTTGTAATAAAACACAGAAGTACTACACTTTCTATTTGTAAAAGAAAAACAATCCGATTTTGTACCTGGTGACAGGGCAGGTGGGGTTGAAGATCTTGCTTAATGGGGTCTTAAATAAAAAAGAGAAAGAAAACCCTGGCAAGAGGCAGACACAGAATCTGGTGCTGCAGAAACAATCTATGAGAAGTGTGATCTCCACAGAGAGCCAACACTGAGGAGGGGTTCCCTGCACTTTCTAGCTTGGGTGCCAAGGTGGGGAACCATAGCCAAAGGATTTTTACCTCATCAAACCCTATGGCTGTAGCGGGGGATTGGTGGTCCCAGTAGCCTCTATACCCAGCTAGACAAGTGACCACACTGAGAATCATATACCCGGGAACCTGGCTGTGATTTGGAGTGGACACAGGCCCATGGGATAGACAATGAAAAGGTGGATCACGCAGAAATGTAGGCAGACCTCTGAGAAGAGGAACAAATTTAGCCATGTGTGGATAACGGGGCAAGGCTCAGTGTACATGAAATGCAAACTGCTCTGGTCGGATAACCTTGTCCACTTCAGTGCCCTGGAAGGATCTGAAGGAAGAAGAGCACTGTTCAGCCACTCCTCATATTCACGTGTGTAAAAGCAGAGCACCTTTGGTGAGAGGGGACATTGCAATTGGTCTATGAATTCTGTTGCCAGAAGCTGCCTCCATGGCAGATCTGCTGGAGATCGGTGCCAAACATTCACCCAGAGCTCAGACACTGGTAGATTTACGCGGGGCTGGATTACGCCTTCATAATATCCCGTCTGAATCTGAGAGACAAAATGACCCAGATCCTCCATTACAATTATTAAAATTTCAAAATGAGAAGATTGTGAAGGGAAAATCCTAGCTTTTATCTAAATTTTAAAGGAAACCTTGGACGTCTAGGGAATGAAGGATCAAGGCTGGATCCTAGCACATAGCCCCTGCGAGAGTGGCCTGACACATGGAGTGCGAGAGTGTAGCTACGCTCCAACTGAGGTCCAGAACTTGGACGTGCCAGGAATACGGAACATAAGAAAGCCTGTGGGCAATGAGCAGAGCCCACAGTGAGGCCAGATGGGCTTTAAAGGAAAATACTATGAAGAAGGCATGCTATGGCCTCTTCTGAGGGTCTACAATCTCACTACCAGTTTGCACCACACCCCAGACATGGGGCTACAGTATTAATGTCTGCCTTCCTGGATTCTGGCCTTGCTCTGGTTCGGGTGTTTTTGCTATTCTTCTACTGTTCTCTCTGTAATGGAATTTTAATCTGTGCTAGTCTATCATGGAAGAACACAACACATTTTTGAGTTTTACAGAGGTAAACCTTAGCTCTGAGTCCGAGGCTTTAGATTTTTGAACACTAGAACTGGCACACTTGGAGATGACAATGTATGTTTGCATTGTAAGATGGACATGGGTGTTTTGAGGGCCAGATGAGGAATGCTGCAGTTGGGGTACCAATGGTCTCCCCGAAGGACTTACATATTCAAGACTTGGTCATACATTTTATGCAGTGTTCAGAGGAGCTTTAGGCATGTGATTTGGTCATGTGGTCTCTTTGCCTTTATCAAGAGATTAATCTATTAGATGAAAAGCTATATTCTAAGTACCCCAAGTAGCAAAACTAGTATCTGAGAAAGCAAAATTCAAGCCAAAATTACTTAGATGAGACTAAGGTTAGTAAACATGAGTAAAGGTGTCAATCTTTCCCAGAAGATTGAGTGTACATGCTGGTCCTTTAATGACTAGGCAGAGGACTGAGGTGGATTTACAACTGCAGATTTTGAAAGATCTGCCAGGCACTCTTGGGAAATGAAGGTACATGTCACCATCTTATGTAAAAACATGGTAAAGAACTAACAGAGAACAATCTGTCATTTTATGCCTTACCTCATGGAGAGTCTCAGTATCTGCTAAGTCATTAAACAGAGTGAGTAATAAAGTAGAACTGAGAAGGCCGCTTAGACACACACTATCCCTCTCCCTCGCTCCTTAGCTATGTGGTAATACACAACTAAACATTATGTATCTAATTTGCATCACTTATAAACAGAATTGGTGCTGCTTACCTTGTAGTTTGCTATGGAGATTAAATGGGTAATGAATCTCTGAAGACCTAAAGAGTTGCAAGGCACCTGCAAGATATTTTCGATAACTGGTACTAAGTCACTCTTTAAAGGCAGAACAGTAACTTCAACAATGCACCATAGCCTACTTCTTATATATTGGCAAACGCACAGCAGGCCCTAAAGAAATAGAAATGATACCTAAATTATTCTTAATCTTGTGCATTAATTTAAGACAGAAAATGAACAACTTCCAGGAGAAATGAGTGCTTTCAGTCAGTTTCAAATACCTCCCAGAAGTCTTCCATTGAAGAAAAGAGAATTCCTTTTTCCTACAAAGATAATTTTAAGTGATATTAAAATACAATATTTGCTGCATTACAAAAATTATTGTAAAACATGTTGACTCAATTATATATACACACACACACACACATTTCTTTTACTTTAAATGTTGTTTTTCTCAAATAATGAATAGTGACATAAATTTAAAACATGATCATTAATATGATATATAATTTCTATTTGTCTAATGTTCTCATTCAAATTTCAAATAGTTAAGTCATTAACTTTTATTAATAAAAATACATTCACGTATTTCTTAAAACCAGAGCACTAAAATCACCCTTAGAAAAACATCATATATGAAATACTGATAATCTACATGCCATCCCCTCCCCTGCCCCCAACAAGGTTTCTCTGTGTAGCCCTGACTGTCCTGGAACTTGCTCTGCAGACCAGGCTGGCCTGGAACTCAAAAAGATCCGCCTGCCTCTGCCTCCCAACTGCTGTGATTAAAGGCGTGCGCCGTCACTACCAGGCTTAATTATGTATCATTTCTACAGAGAATTCATACTAAGTATAATCCTGGTGTCCATCCACTTTAACTGTGGATACACTAGTGTTTAATACTTAAAAATTATTATTCCTGTCCATCAACAGATGGATAAACAAAACATACAGCCATAAAAAAGGATTATAAGTACACATTAAACATGGAGGTATAAAAAAACCCATACACAAAAGCCACAATATTTCATGATTCTATTTATGTTATACCCCAAATCAGCAAACCCACAGGCAGAAAATATATCAGCAGTTTCCAGAGGCTGAGGAAGAGTAGATTTGAAAGTGGAGGCTAATACACCTAGGGCCTCTTCTGCAGACAAGAGAAATCTTGTGAGACTAGACAGTGGTGGTGATTTCACAATGTGGTGAACGTGCTAAAGATCACCGAACTGTGTGCTCCAAAAGGGTGGATTAATCTCAATTTTAAATTTAAAAAGTAACGTTCTAATAAAGATCACAGTGTCCATGACTGTGAGTGGGAGCATAAAAAACAAGTTCTCTAAGATGAAGACAACACATCAGGAGAATTTCTGGGCGAAAGAAACTACAGTATTTTAATTATATTTATTTAAGGTGTATATACGTCAGAGAACAATCTGTATGAACCAGAGTTCTCTCCCTCCATCACTGGGGTACCAGGGATCTAATTGAATTCGGTCTTTGGGCTTGGTGGCAAGAACCTTAGCCCACTGAGCCATCTTGCAGGCTTGGTAAGGTAAACTGTGATGGCATGTTTAAGAGCACATTGAAGGAAAACACTGCTGTTGTGCTTTACATATATAAGAAAGAGCTTTCCTACAAACTGAAATTAAAACTTTTACAAGAAGCCAAAATTGTTAGGTAACAATCATTCCAATGTTGTCAGTTACATTATACACAAATGAAGCCTGCCCTATAAGAAGATATTCAGCCTAGCAAACAACAAACTTACCTTTCCAAGGGTGATCCAAGAATCAGCTGGTGAAAATTTTATAAATGCTGTTTCTGGATGGTGTCATATCAAGAAAAAAAAAATGTACGCACAGGGATCTTGCTGCAAGAAACTGCCTGGAGGTAAAATAATGTTCTGAAAAACCATTGACTTTGCAATGTCTCAAGAGGATGGGATGCATATTCATCTTCTGATGTAACATAGATTCTCATAAGATGAACAGCACCAGGAGCTCGTAATTAAGTTTTGAGAGTGACCCAGAGCTCTGGCATCCTCTGCTGGGAGGCCTGCCCACTCTTGGCTCAAAGTCTTCATTATCTGTGCTTGTCTGAGGACTTATGATGCTTCTTCTCGTCCTTATCTCCACAACTGTCCCATTTCTCTTTCTTTTCTACCTTTTCTTTATCATGTCCAGACTCCTTTTTCCCACTGGATACTTTATCCACCTTTTCAGGTTTAAAGAAATCACCTTTTTCTTTGCCTGAGGATTTTGACTTATTTTTTTCCTTGTCTTTCTCACTTGGATAAAGAGATTCACAGGGGCTTTCACTTTTGTGCTTTGAAGTCCCCAATATTCCATTTTCATCTTTCCGCCTTTTGACTAAGTCTAGAGGCACTTCCCGGTCATTGTTTGAATAATCCCTTTTCCGCTCTTTCCGGTCCTTTTCTTCTTTTTTCTCTCTCTCTCTGGATCTTTCCCTCGACTTGTCCAAATCTTTCTTGTCCATTTCTCTCTCCTTACTCTTGCACAACAGTGGAGGAGCATGGTTGATGTAGAGCTTTGCTGAAGACTCCTTGAGTTTGTTGAGACTGTCCTTTATTGTGGAAGAATGGGATGGAGAAGGATGGGAATCTACCTTGCGACGCTTTTCTCTTTCGGGCTCTGCATTATCTGTTCGGGAAACAGGTGATTTCAAGGACCCAGAAACTGGTGTTTTTTCTCCTCCTTTAACATTTTCTTTTGATTTCATTTCCTTTGCTAAATCTCTTTCTCTTGATGGCTCTTTCTCTTTTTCTCTTTCTTGAGTAGACTTTGAATCTATGTTAGGGACAGTGATCCTGAACTTCTCATCTTTAGCTTTTTCCTCCTTCTTTAATTTTTCCTTATCTTTGTCAGATTTAGGCATTCTTTCCTTGGTCTCTCTTATTTTCTCATCTTTATTTGGCTGCTCTTCCTTGGGTTTTTCTTTATTGTCTTTACAAAGTACCCTAACTTCTGGAATAACAGCTGAGGTCTTTTCTTTTTTTTCTTTTTCCTTCTCTTTCCCCTTTTCTTTGTCATTTTCCTTAACAGCCTTGGTGTTGGAGCTGCTGTTTCCATTGTTTGAATTCCCTTTTGGTACGGCACTAGAGGCTTTAGTGACAGCTTTCAGGCCACACTGAGACCTTTCCCTTGACTTGTCAGTCTCCTCAGTACTGCTTTCATCTGACTTAGACGTGTTTCCTATGGAAGATGGCAGCCCGCTACAAGGTCCATTTGGTACACTTGAAGTAGCATTTCTTGGAGGAGGATCTTTGTGATGAAATTCATTTTCAGGTATCATGTACGACTTTCTATTTTTCAGCTGCCCAGAGTAGACCATTGCTAGTACATACAGATCTGGCTTCTTTTCTTTCTCTTCTTGGCAGATTTTATGTACTCTTCTTTCCAAAGCCTGTCCCAGATTTAAAACTTTGGGGTACCATGGCAGTATTTTTGTGAGCACAATCAAGATATTTCTGATATGAGTATATTCACCTGTTTCAAGGCAATGTACCGATGCCTTGGTTAGTTTATAATGCCACTTATGGACAACATGTCGAAAATTTTCATAATCTAACTGATCCGCTTTATTTCCACCATCAAATCCAGTTGCTCGTAATATAGTAAGGAATCCTGGATAGTTTCCACATTCCTTCTCATAGGTGGATCTGTCGCTATGCCATCTAGTCACCGTCTCTAACATGCAGCAAAGAAATCTACCATACCGACTAGCTTCATTTTCAGTAAAGCTAGCAACCATGTAAATTATATCAGAGAAAACTCGATCATAGCAGAGAAGTGTGGAAAAATTTGGAGTCTTCTGTTGGTGGACCAACTCAACAAAATGCGCACAGTAAACAGAATCAATTGCTGAAAAAATACAACGAGGAAATATACACAGCTGGAGAAACTTTGTGATGGTCTCATTTTTAGTAGATTTTGCTAAGAGCCAGTTGTCCTTTTCCAATTTCAGTCTCTGTAGTACTCGCTGCACATGCTCCGTCTGTTTCTTTTCTTCTTCAAGAAGCTTGTCCTGAAGGGCAGTACAGCGCTCTTTCTCTTTTTTCTTTTTATTCAGAGGCATTTCTTGATTGTCATCAATTGCTTTCATCTGAATCTTAAGTTTATTGACTTCTCGTTCATAGCTAGTGTGTGGAACTGCAAGGTCATACATTGTCAGAGACCAGAACGTGGTATAAAATTGAGGGCTGATATCTTCCCAGACTTTGGAAATGTGTAAGGAGATCACTGCTTCATGGACAGGAGCCATCACCATCTCACATGATGTAATGTATTTATGAACTTTATGTTGCTGTTTACTACCCTTTTCTGATTTCTTAAGTTCATCATACTTGGATGAAATATGGTGCGCATACATCGGCCGAGACAGAAAAAATGCTGCATCATGGGGCGTATGAAATTCATTACATAGTACATCAATTGAAGGTACTCTCTTTATGTAATCATCTGTGCTTAAATTTGAAGCTAAAAACCCACCAAACTGTACCAAAGTATCATGACACTGGTCATACAGCTTCCCTACAAGCTTTAAATGTTTCTCTCCGCCTTCCTGAAAGATCACACCATTCCTCTGCTGGGCCATAAGCAAACAGAGAGGAAGGGCAAGGTCATGGTCCAGCAGTGCATCCTTCAATCTCTGAGAGGATTTTTTAGTGTTTCTTATCTGGCCAAAATATCCACCCTCGGCTTTCAGTTGCTCCCCACCAGTCATAGCCTCTAGCTGGTCCATTGTCATTTCCTCTGTAACTTCTATTCCTGCCATTTTTTGTACCACTTCTTTCAATATAAGCAGGTCAAAACTTTTGCCTGCCTTTAATTGATTGGCTACATACTGAAGAAGACCAGCAAGATCAATTGGGTATTTACGAAAAACTGCACCACAGAAACTAGCCAGGCTCTGAAGCCAGCTTGAGATGGTTGTGTCATCGTGCTTCATTCTTTCTTTTTCTGGATTAGCTAATGCTTCAATGATACAATAAGCCAAAACATCATAATTCAACGCAGTGAGATATTTCAATGAGTCTACCACAGGTGTTATTAAGTTATCGTATTTCTGTATTTGTGACAAGACATAATCAAACAAAATGGTTGGATTGCTGTGGCTCAGTTTCCCAATCTGTCTTCCTGAAGGTTTCACATTTTCCTTGGTTAGACGCTTCATAATGTACTTGGCTCTGTCTACTGTGTGAGCTTTAATTTTTACTAAAAGTGGGTGACTATGGTAAGTCTCATTCTTCCATTGGCCATATAAGCGGTATCTATGTTGATAAGGAAATGTTTTAAACATTCCCCATAGTTCCTCTGACATACACGCATTGCAATCCATCAAAGAAAGAGACGGAAGTAGGACCTGGTCAGTGATGCTAAGCAAGCAACTAAAGATGACTTCCATTTTCTCTTTATTTTCTTGCTTCCCATCAGACTGAAATTCCTTCATAAATGACTTGCCTATGCGCACAACCTTTGCAAATAAGATGGGATCATGAGAAAGGTGGGGACCAAGATAACAGAACATACTGAATACATCTCTCCTTAAGTCTTCAAAGCTCTCTGCTGGCTTTGGTGATTTCTTGTTTTGCAAAGCATTGACAGGTGAGCCTTTAGCACCTTTAGGAACACCAACTCTTCGGTAAAGAGGTTCAATAGTTATATGTATAAGATTGCAGATAGCAAGGGCTATTACTTTATGTGATGCTGCATAGTACGGAGGCATTCGATCCATAATACTCTGTGCATGCTGCCAATCACCAATAACTAATAAGGCTTCCAACAAACCAAGTTTTTGATTGTCAGGTGCCTTCTCTACTTTATCATCTTTTTTCTTTTCTTTCTCTCGTTCATCACTTTTGTCAGAAGGCAATACAACCATTGTAAGTTTTCTGACAATGTGCTTAGCTTCCACAATTTCTCGTTTGTATTCATTCACAATGCAACTATCAGCTGGAAGAAGGTGTACATAAAGATCATCCAAATCGATAAGATTAAACTGTAGAAGTACTGCTGCGACTGTATACAAAGATGATGGAGTCTCACCATTTGGTTCCTGGTAAAACTTGAATTTGAATCCAAGAATATGACACAATGTTTGTGGTTCACACATATTCATGTAAGCTTCTAATAAAGATATAAAGAAATCATGGTGTTCTGGCCTACACTCGAACACCTCTAATATGATATCCAAAACTCGATTGGGGTCTAGATTAAAGCAACCTATTAAAGATTTGAGAATTTCTAAGATTAAATCACTTGTAATATTTCCAGATAAATCTTGCCCCAATTCAACAATAAGCTTGGCATAACCTTCATTTTCTTCTCTTAACAAATTGAACTTCTGTTGTTTGTAAAAGAGTTTCGTCTTGATTTTAACTGACTTCTGATTGAACTGCTGTGATTGTTTGATAAGGCCTAATGACTCCAATGTTTCTGGATCCAAGCGTTCCTTTAGAACTGTGTCTGAAACTAAATATAAACATGCTAATACCAACTGTGTAAAATGATCTCTCTTGTTCTTTTCTTCTAAACAATTTGTCTCAATATCTAATATGCAGAATATGTCGGCAAGAATAAGTGGAATATCTTCACGAAATTCACTGATGTCACTGAGAACACTGGATGCCTGTTCCGGCTTTAAAGTTCCTTTAATGACATGGTATGACAACTCATAGAGAGCTTGTTGGAAATCTCTACAAGCCAAAGTGTCGCGGCTTTTACTTTCACTGAGAATCCGGCATAAACGCAAAAATTCGCTTCTCCCAGATTTCTCCCAGTTCTTGATCCACTCAGCGGGAACCACTACAGTTGCCGCAGTCATCATAGCCATCTTCTCTTTAGTAGTAACAGAGCCCCAGGTGTGCAGTAGGAACTTGTGCTAGGTCAAAGGAGAACCCCGCCCACGGCAAATGCTGGGAGCTGAGTGTTCTGAAGAAAGGGTTTTAGGGTTGAGTGTTTTGTTGATTCAGGAACCGGAAGCTGGGAATGCTGGATGCACAGTGGTGCAGTCTGCTGTCTGGGTGTCTTTGTGGACTCAGCCACTCACACTGCAGGCCACTGCAACAAAGAAAGAGTCAAATAAGAGTCCAAAGGCAAAGTTCACAAGTTCCCTAAGCCAAATGCCTCCATGAGGGGAGCTGCTGGTGGTGAAGGACTGAGTACCTACCCAGGTCTTCTCTCAACCTTAACTCCTTTCCCCATCAATTTTCTAGGTATCATGATCTGATTTTGGCTTATTCATATTGGCTTATGAGAAACAGCTGACTCCAAAAAGGCTAGTCAGCAGACCCTACAGCTGTCTTCAAAATCCCATAGAAGCCTTGTCATCTATTTCAGGCTGAACCTGTGCTTCATCTGCTGATTCTTCTGACAGATATTAGGGGACCCTTTTGGGTTTCCCGGGTGGATTTTCCATTCCTCTTGGTTCTGATCTTTGAGAATGAATATTTGGTGACTTTGGGATCCTTTGATTTCTGTGGGTTAGGGGAGGTTGAAGTTGAGTTTTCCCACTTCTGTAGTTCATTCAACCATACTTCTAGTATTGGCCATGGCTGCAGGAAAATCTTTTCCCTTGCAGCTACACCAAAACATTCTTCTCTGGTGCCCCAAACCTGGTGGTGGTAACTTCCTCGAGTGCCTCTCCTTCCCAGTTGGTTCCCTTAACTCTATAACATCTCTAACACAGTGTCTTCCTTCAACTTGCTTTAAACATCACTTTGATTCATCATCTTTTCCCTTTTGGAAGTTAAGAAATACCCATCTGCCTGTGTCTGCTAATCAAATCCTGTGTGAAAATTTCTAACCTAACACACACTCTCAGTTCACACTGACAGAACCAAGGAGGAGGCAAGAAGATACAAAAGATAGCCTAGAGTTAATCTGTCCCTGCAGAAGAGCTCACAGTAGCCCCAGGTATCTTGCTCACCAAACTATCAAAGAGGAATGGACACTGTAGACACACAGCAGCAGTTATCAGCCTGTGGGTCACATAGCACATAATCTATCAGATACATACATCAGATTATGATTCAGAACAATAACCAAATTACAGCTATGAAGAAGCAACAAAATAATTTTATGGTTGTTGGGGATCACACAACATGAAGAACTGTATTAAAGGGTTATAGTATTAGGAAGGTTGAAAACCACTGCTCTAGAGTCAACAGAAGGGAGAAGAGAGCTTGAAGGAGTAAGACCCAATGAATCCAAGGACAACTAAATGATTCAGATTACTTTCAATTAATGTAAAATTGTAATAAATGAACTACAAATCATACTGGAGTTTCCGGTGAGTTTATTGCTAAAAATACTGGTTGGTGTTGAACTTGCTATCTCTAGTGGTGCTCTCCTCGGCAGTCATTACATCTCACCAGGACTCTTCCCCAACCTCCAAGATTACAGTCCATATTTCATGAAACCCTAATAGGGAGACTGGTCAGAACTTTACAGTTGCAACCCAAGTTCTAAATCAGCCAGGTCTACGAAGGTGAGGTTGCAAAGCTAGGCCTGATTTAATGCATAAACTTCTTTAAAGGTGAAGTTGTAAAGTTAGGCCTGATTTAATACATAAACTCCTTTTAAGGCAGGAACTAGAAGTTAGAGAAATTCCATGTTTCAGAATAACTCAACTTGTTCTGAAAGGGAAGGGAAAATCATTTAGGGAAAAATGCTGGAAGCCTGGAGAAGTTGGAGGAAGCGGGCATAGGTCCTAGGGGCTTTAGTTCTGACATCAAATGGAACTTATTCCTCTTATAACTGGACTTTGGAAGTATATTCAGGTAAGATTCTTTAGTTGAGTTCAGATGGCTGATACTTTTGTTAGGTCTCTGGTAAGTCTTGATCGCTACTGTTTTAATATACTTAGTAGTAATCTGTTATTTCATAATGAAAACAAATACACCTCTCCTTTGCACTTCTCTAATGGAACTCTTAAGTTCAGTGGGAGTCTGTCATTGTGTGGAACACCAGTACCAAATATGTGTCCTACTCAGTGAGCTCAAACTTCATGCCTCAGTGGTTTCAGCCTCCAAGAGACATTCCATTTGCCCCCTTGTGCTTGCAAATTCCTGGCTCCCCTAGGATGATGAATTGCTTTCCACACTCAACTCTCTTGCTCTATTCTTTGGTCTTAGCAGAACTATATCCTGGAGTTTATGAAGGAGAGAGCCATACTTACTGTGGCTCTCATGCTACTGTATTTATATAATCTAGTCTTAGGGGTCCTAGAGAAGCTATTTAGTCCCACCATATATCTCACTAATGTTGGAAACCTTTTTCTTATCCAACTTAGGTCCGGTGGGTAAAGATCTGAAAGCCTACAGCAGACAAAGACTGGCAAGAGTAGACAGGTTAATCTTGCACACTTGCAGATGAAGAGGTGTTTTAGGAGTGTATATGCTGACTTAGCAAGTGAAAAGGAAGGGGCTGTTTCTAAAGTAAATTGGCCATGGAATTCCTGGGTATACCTTGAGTGGCAGTTCCCAAAGGTATCTCAGTTTTCAGAAAGAGATTTTCCTCATTCAACTTACGTTGTTATGATAGGTTACCCTTTTTCTGATAAAATTCTCTTCTGCTTCCATCATCTAATTTAGTATTCTATTTGACCAGTATATTCAATTTAATTTTTTTCTTGTGAACACCTCTAAGATATTATACTAGGGTTAGTATGGTGATCATGTAAAGAGCTTTTTATTTTTCTTCTGCTGACTCTGGTTATTAAGATAACTTTGTTATTTAAGGTCAACTGGAGTTTGCTATTTCAGGTAGACCTACGTAGAATATAAATACTGAACATGAGAACAAGGAAAAAGAGAAAGGGATGGGGGAACAAAGCAGGCATTTAAAAAACAGATGCTAAAAGAACTGCTCTATCTGAAAAAAAAGTAACAGAAATAAAATATTTAAGTCAGCTCTAAGATGAAATATTGAAATATCAATGGCTAAATACATATTCAAGCACTCTTGGCTCCTTAATTTCCATGACAGGAAAATAACTATTTCTATTAATAAATGAGTTTTCATAAATGGTTGGTATGAGGAAAATCAGTTTTAAATAGCTTTCTTCATAGGTCCTTACTAAAATGTGACAGTCAAAAAATCTAATGAACATTCAATTTAATGGCAAAGACTATAAAAATAAAGTGGCTGTATTTCAATGAGAAACACAGCAAAAGATGTAAAGTGAATTATTTTGATGACAAAAAATATAACTGTGTCTAAATTCATCAAATGTAAGCATTGCTTCAAAATGTAAATTAAAGACAGAACTGTTCTGTTGGAACCTCCAGCTGGCTATTGCATGGTCCGAGAAGCCCCATTCCTGTCTATCTAAACCCCTTCCACTCAGACAATCTCTGAACAAAGGAAAGCCCAGGTAAACATTTTTGGTGGCTAAGACAGCTTCATCCCCTGAAGTTGCCAGCCAGCCAAGTCCCCACCTAAAATGTTCAGCTTTTGACCACACTTGGGCACAAACCCAGCTTGTGACGAACATATCATTACCTGTCACCTACAACCTATATCATTTCCCTGCTTTAGTTCTGACATGCAGCTTTTCCAGCCTCAGTCTCTGGGAATGAAGAACCTGTCTGGGGAGTTGTTTTGTTTAAAAAATTCTGTTGCTATACCTTTTCAATTCAGCTTGATCTGGCTTACTACATCAGCAGAGAAACCTATCATGGGGGATGGGGAGGCAGAAAATTTATAAATAATTAAGAACTAAGGCTAAAAGAAAAATAAATGCTTATAAACATAATCTACTTTTGGGTAAATAATGAAAAACAAGTTGAACATATCACAAAAGGGTTGCACAAAATGAATGTATAAAAGTTTATCTATTTTATATATGAATGCTTTGTCTGCATTGTACAGACCAGATGAGGGAGGATCCCACTACAGATGACGGTGAGCCACCATGTGATTGCTGAAAATTGAACTCAGGAACTCTACAAGAACAGGAAAGCCAGTGCTCATAACTGCTGAGCCATCTCTTCAGTCCCCACAAAATGTTTTAGAGAAAGAAATAGATGTATAATTTAGTTTGCTATAATTAGAAATGTACTTAAGTTTTTCTAAAGAGATAAAATTTTGATGAATTAATATATGAGAATTTGATTCTCTACACTGAAAACTAGCTTTCTGAACAGACTTGCTCTTAACAGAATTTGCAAGAAATGAAACAGGAAATGATTTTATGTTGTGTTTTCTGTTGACATAAGGTTGAGATTGGTTAGAGAAAATTACACTTTAAAAGAGTTAAGATTTGTAAACATTTATTCTAATGTCTTTTAAGTGATTATAGCTCTGGTTAAATCTGGCTTATAACTCTGGTTAAGCAAATACTTTGATAGTATGTTAATATAAATGCCAAAAATTATATAAAATTTATTTTCAAAAAATTATTATTTTATGTGCATGGGTTTTGTCTTAATGTATACCATATGTGTGCCTGGTACCTAAGGAGGCCAGAATAGGGTGTCAGATCCATCAAGACTGGACTTACAGGTAGGTGTGATCCTGCTACATGGGTTCTGGGAAGAGGACCCCAGGTCCTCCGCAAGATCAAGTGTTCTTAACTGTTAGGTCATCTCTCCAGTACCATGGTTATAGACAACTATAAAAGCCTCCTGGTGATGGTAAACACTGTCAGCCAGAATTTTTATCTTAAAATTCTATACACAATAAAACTGACAAGATCTCCTGAGTAAACTGGGGTGTGAAGGGCAGTGAGGAGGGTGGAAGATGAAAGGGAAAGAGGGAAGGGCAGTGGAGAAAAAATGTACAGCACATGCCTACCCAAACAATTAAAATGAGGATATAAAAAATAGAAAATATTAAACTGTCTTTGATATGGGATAATGCTCTGGTACACTGTAAAGATTTGTCACTCATATTAGTTTAACAAAACACCGATTGATAGGTAGCCAAGCAGGAAGTATAGGCAGGGTGACCAGACTAAGAGATTCTGAGAAGAGAAAAGGCAGAGAGACACAGTCACCAGTCAGATGCAGAGGAAGCAGGATGAGGATGCCTTACTGAGAAATTGTACAAAGCCATGTGGCTACACAAAGACAAGAATTATGGGTTAATTAAAGTTGTAAGAGCTATTAATAATAATCTTGAGATAATAGACCAAACAGTTTATAACTAATATAAGCCTCTATGTGTTTCTTTGGGAGTGAGCAGCTGCAGAACTGGGTGGCACAGAAATTTATGTTTACATGTCTTAACTGAGGAACTCATTACAATTCTAACCATGGCTATTCTAAGCCTTCTCATTCACTTTTGTTTCTTCTCTAAAATATCAACAATTAGATTCATAAAAAAGATGTTAAAAACTATGTTTAAATGAAGCTTTCTAATAAAGCTTATTTTACAAATTAATTTTTCTTGAAATGTTTTTTAATGACTATAAAAGTAATTGTTTCACGGTTTAAATTAAGTATACAAACTAAATTTGCTTGGTACTTGTTGGGTCACTTTATATTTTTCCTTAGATGTTATTCAGTATTATAACACCTACCAAAGTAATGCTGACCCAGTTTGAGATAATAAATATCCATCCCCTAGAGCAGTGGTTCTCAACCTTTCTAATGCTGCAACCCTTTAATACAGTTCCTCATACTGTGGTGACCCCCAACCATAAAATCATTTTTGTTGCTACTTCGCGACTATAATTTTGATAATGTTATAATCATGATGTAAATATCTGTTTTCTGATGGCCTTAGGTGACCCCTGTAAAAGGGTTATTCAACTCCCGAAAAGTGCTGTGACACAAAAGTAAAAATCTGTGCTGTGACCGAAAGTAAAATCTGGGTTTTCAAAAATGGTTCAGTGGATACTTGCTGCTTAGGCATGAGAGCCTGAGTTTGGATCCTCAAAACCCAAATAAAAATCAGAAGCACACATCTGTAACCCCACAGTTGGGAGACAGAGATGGGTAACAGATAGGCAGACCCAGGATGCTCATTAGCTAGCCAGCCTAGCCTGAACTGTTAACAGGAAATCCTATCTCAAAAGGAAAAAGTGACCTCTGATCCTGGCAAGGAACTTGTGGGTGAGCACATTTGCAAATGCATGCATGCATATGTCACACACTTATCAAGTAATATTCTAAAAATTAGCTTCAAGGGCTGGAGAGATGGCAGGGTAGTTAACAACACAGGCTGGTCTCATAGTGGATGGGAATTCAGTTCCCAGAACTTACACAGTGGTTCACACCCATCAGTAACTCCAGGGCCAGGGGATCTAATGCCTTCTTTTGACTCCCATGGGCACCAAGCCCACATGTGGTGTGTACACACAAACACACACACACACTTGGTACACATAGACATACACAAGCAAAACATTAATACAAATAAAATACACCAATTTAAAAAATAGCTTCCAATACGAGAAATTATTAATTTAAGATGATTAGTTTCATTACCAAACAGTATATTTATGAAATATAGGCTCTTTTCTGACTTTGTTCAATAAAAGGTAACAGTATTATGATTAACTTGAAAATTATTTGGGTAACATCAGGAGTTAATTCAGGAAGTAAACTAATCTCTCAATATGAAAAATCACAAACTAAAATGTCTTAAAATTTTGAACAACAATATGGTGAAAACTTCTTTGCCATGGTTTAGATGGCTGGTTTTAGATCTATTCTGAGTGAGAGGAGAGAAAGGGAAGGAGGACAGAAAACCCTTAAATTATCAGCCAAGTTAATATTTTCCTTATTTCCATCCAGCTGGTTCTGATATATAGATACTTGGTATGTTTTACACACACACACACACCTCCATATTGGCAGTGGTGGAAATTAAATCTAGCCAACAAGCCTACATGGTTTATTTTCATAATACCAGAAGCTTCCATTCAGCTCACTGTCCTGGTGTGTTTTGTTATGTGCTTTCTTTTCATTTCTGTGTTTTCTTTTACCTATCTGTCAGTGGCTCTCAACCTTCCTCATGCTGTAGTGACCCCCAAGCATAAAATTATTTGTATTGCTACTTCATAACAGTAATTTTGCTACTGTTATTAATCGTAATGTAAATATCTGTGTTTTCTGATGGTCTTCGGTGACTCCTGTCAAAGGGAGGTTTGACCCAAAAGAGTCATCCCCCGTGTGTTAAGAACTCTTGGAACTACAGAGCTTGCTGGTATCAAAATAACTCTTAAGAGTAAATGAAGCATGTGTGTACTTGTATGAGTCTTTAAGACTTTTTTGAAAAGCATACAAAAGAATAATTTCTGCCAAATGTTTGGGCATACCAAGGAAACAGACCTTAACGTTAAAAGCACACACTGAGTATTTTCAGTACTGTAAACAATCAGTGCTCGTGTCTAAACACCTTGGCTATGTTTCTTTCACTGGGCGAAGAATTAACAAGGCTCAGTGTTACTTTAACACAGCTGATAGTCTGCAAATGTGATCCTGAAAATAGCTACTACAGGTACTAAAATGTCTGAGGGTTAATGCAAACCCAGAGACCGCGATACACAGTCCTAAAAGCCTGGTACCCTGTCCTTTCCTTGAATATAAACTAATCGCTGCCACCCGGGTTGCCAGCATTTCTGCAGCCTCAGAATAGTGCAGAAACTTACATACTGAAACCGTTCCCGGTAATGTTTTCAATCTCTTCATCCCTTTCGCTCCCGTTTCCTGATTTTACTGAACCTGGGCCACAGTTTAACTCTCCGAAGCTCACTGTCAGACCCCGCCTACTGCCCGTCAGGTGGGCATTTTGTACTGAGTGATGCCAACAGGAGCCACCAAAAGCCCAGGCTCGGGGAGCGCCTGAGGACACCAGAGCTAATGGCCTCTGTTCGTCCGGGAAAGAATTGGAGTCTGCGGCTTCTCCCCGCGAAACGACGGCCCGGTCCGCGTCTAAGCGCTTCGCAGAGGGCGGGAGTCCAGGCCGAGCGGGACGGAGGCCGCTGCCCCCGCCTGGTCCGCCCGCCCGCCCGCCGAACTCACCTCCTCGCCCGGCCCACGTCGCCGGTCGCGGCCGCGTCGGGCCCGCGCCCTGCTGCCCCAGCCACCGGGAACCGCCTCGAGGCCGCAGCTCGGGAACGGCCTTCGCCACCCGGCGTCCACCACAGTCGGCTCGACGGAGACCCAACCAGACGCGGCCCGCACCACGGAGCGACGCTCGAGGGAAGCCGGGCCGGAGCTGCCCCGCACCTGGATGACGTCACTGCCGAGCGACAGCGGTTTCCCTCGCGTGCCCTGGGCGCATGCGCGGCAGGACCACGGTTAAGCGGCGGCTGAGCTGGGGCAACCGAGGACGCTAGGGTCGCCGGGGTAACTGTGTGGTCCCTCACCGTTTCATGAAGGAGAATGCTAAACTCAAAGGATCTAGAGAACTTTCTGACGGACGATACCTGGTGGTGTGTTAAGGGAGCAGTCAGTTTCTTTCTGCAAGTTGGCAAGTTTCTGCAAGTCTGGACTTTCTGCGTGTCCAAGCTACAACACAGGCCACGAGCTGGGGAAGCACAACGACAGTGGCTGTTCAGCGTAGACACTGCTGTCAACATTTGCTCCCGACCGAACTCGGACGCATACTTCATTACAGAAACATGAACATATTTTACAAAACTACTGCAGGTTATACTGGGGGAACTGGGCTATTGACTAGTGGTTTTCTGTCATCCATCAGCCATAAAAAGGTTCTTTGATGAAGAGTGAGAGCTACGTCTTTTTCTTTAGATTAAAATTCTTTTTAATGTAAAAAGGCATTAAGTTTTAAACAAATTAAGATTTGAACTCATTTTTTAAATTATCTCTGAAAATTACCATTTCTATTGCTATCTGCTTAGTGTACATATATATAATCATGGTTCATGTATGTGTATGTATATCCAACCACTTTGTCATAAACCAGAAATAATGCATAAAACCAAGTAAGAGATGCATCTTTTCTCCTGAGCATTAGTAAGGTTTTTTGTTTTCATTTTTTTTTTTTTGTCTCAATAGTAGACTCTGCACAGACGGGGACCTACTTTTTTAACCAGCCATCACCAGGAGGTAACACATTGCCATGCACACACCAGTAGGTACTGTGTAAGGGGCACGGTCACTCCCTTGGCAGTTGTTTTTAATTTAGATGCCATTCTCCACTGTGAAATAAACTGAGCACTTTTTTTTTAAAGGTCAAATCACTTCTTCAGGAAAATACCACCCAAAAATCTTATAATTTTAAAAATTGATTCTTTTGTAATTTCATATACATACATGGTGTTCTTTAGTCGTCGTCTCCCTCATTACCCTCTTTTGTTCTCCTCCCCTTCCTTGCCCTCTTCCAAGTGCCCCTCTGACTCTCATGCCTCTTGTCTCTGTGGCCTACTGCATTTAATTAAATCTCCTAGCATGCATGAGCTTGGGTGGGGGATTACTTACTTCCCTGATGTGGGAGTGATTTCTTATTAATAAAGAAACTGCCTAGGCCCATTTGATAGGCCAACCCTTAGGTAGGCGGAGAAAACAGAACAGGATGCTGGGAGAAAGAAGCTGAATCAGTCAGTCGCCGTGATTCTCCCACTCCAGACAGACGCAGGTTAAGATCTTCCCTGGTAAGCCACCTCGTGAGCTACACAGATTATTAAAAATGGGTTAGATCAATATGTAAGAGCTAGCCAATAAGAGGCTGGAACCAATGGGCCAAGCAGTATTTAATAGAATACAGTTCCTGTGTAATTATTTCGGGTATAAAGCTAGCCGTGCGGGCAGCTGGGTGCCAGGAACGCAGCCGGCAACTCCCACAACACTTCCCTTCCTCCAGCAACCATTTAATGTCTTCAGCTTGGTGAGAACTATACTTACCTGCAAATTTCATGATTTTGTTTTTCTTTAAAGCTGAATATTATCCCATTGTGTATATGCATATTTGTATTACCAATCCATCAGCCGAAGGGCATTTAGGTCGTTTCCATTTATTAGCTATTGTGACTAGAGAAGCAGTGGATATTACTGAGCAAGAACAATGTCAGGTCCTCTGGCCATATGAGGAGTGGAGCTAGGTCAAGCGGGAGATTCTTGAGCGGTATTGGCCGCACATGGTCTCTTGTATATGGTCCCCATTTGGTGGAACTATTTGCTACGTATTAAAAGGTGTTACCTTATGTCACTGGGAGGTGGTCACTGAGGTTCCAGTAGCACACACCATTCCCATGGAGACCTCTCTGCCTGATATTTATTAACCAGATGGAAATTGTGAACTAGTGCTCCAGCGACATGCCTACCTGCCTGCTGCCACACTCCCCACCCTATTTGTCATGGGCTCATCCTCTGTAAGTCACAATAAACTCTATAAGTTGTTTTGGTCATGATATCCATCCTAGCACAGCAATAGAAAAGTAACTAAGTTAAGTGCTATTTTCTCCTCCACTATATGGGCAATTGAAAAGGTCATGTGAAACAAGTCCCCTCATTATTTCCATTGTATCTAGGGGAACAAGAGCCCCTGGGACTGAACCACTCATGGTATGCCTAGTACATGATATAGGCAAGCCCTCTGTGGCATATCTCTGGAATGCCTAGTGAGTGTCAGCTATCAGGTCTACACGCTTTTCTTTACCCAGAACTTGTGAAGGGTTGCTTTGTTTACTACTAGTACACGAGAATTACAGCCATTCTCAGAGGGTGGAGTAAATCTGAATTGTGCATGGCACACTGCTTCTCAGAGTTCCAGCAGCCAGTAACATTAAGAGTACACTAACACACCCTCTACTGACATTTTCCCTGCTGTGTCTCTCACACTCTGACATTCCTATGACCTGTGTGTCCCAAGTGTCCTCCTGCCCTGAAGTCTTTGTCCTGGATTATACTTCTGTGAGGAAAAAGAAAGAAGACTGTGCAATGGTGTACTGGGAGTCTATAAATGTATATTTAGTGTAAAAAGCATAGAAATGTGTTACTTGTGTCCTTACTGGACACAGAAAAGAAGGTACTTTTCCAGGGTCTATGCCACAATAAAAGGCAACTCTTTCTTATAAGGAAGCAGACACTTTTTTTATACCTTGGTACCATGTCAAGTCTTTATTTAGTAATGTACAAACTATTACAGTTGGGAAATTCTTGATTGTCAGAAGAACCTTGAATATATATCTTAACTATACCTATTACAGAGGGGAAGATAATAGAAAAGAGATTGGGACTGAACTTCCCAGGACCAAAGTAGAAAAATATATAAATGTATATGTGAAAAGAGAAAAAAGAGTTCTGCAAAATTTTACAAGTTAAATGAGAAACAGTATATTAACAAGCATCATAAAATGATGTTCCAGTGACCATAACAGATATATGGCACGTGGTCGATACACATGGATACCACATAATGAATGCACTTCAAGTTGAAGTTTGTTTACATGTAACAACATGATACACATATGTAAGTACATACATACAATATACCCCTGGACAGCAAACTTCAATACCCAGGGAAAAAACATTAGCATAGCATATTTAAAAGAGAATACAATAGACGGGAGTCATCAAAATTAAGGAAATTCAATAAGCTTTGCTTCTGTAGAAGCTTCTAGAAAGGTCTGTCTGCTCGGCAGTTTGTTGCAGGTCTGATAAACTAAATGAATGCTGGAGAATTTCAAGAACAGCACTCAAGTCCAGGGCAGTCTTCTACCTGGTCTCTATCTGCTGAATGCCGACCAGCGTGGCTTTTGTCCTTGGCTTTCAAAAGACCAGGTTACTCAGCACTTTTCAAAACAATCATTTTAGCCTGGTGTGATTACACATGTCCGTAATCCCAGCATGCAGGAGGCAGAGAGCAGATGCATCGCTGTGCGTCTGAGGCCAGCAAGGATTAGACAGTGAAACCCAGTCTTTAACACCAACAACAGCAACATATATTTAGAAATAGATTTCTCCCACCAATTTAGAGAGACCCTTGCCTAATGAAACCATTGCTGATATGCAACATTTAGCTGATCCCTTCTAATAATGGAAAACCCCTTAATATTAGAGGCCCCTCACATGAAAATGAACTAAATTTGCATTGTATGTTTTCATTCTGAAATATAAAATGACGAATATTTGAGAACTATATTTTAGATAGAACATAAGCCAAACCTTTCCTTTTATAAAGCTTTTATGCATTTTTAACTTCCTTAAAGTAGATATGTGCATAGTTGCTGGATTAAAACTTTCACTGCATACGAAAATAAAATATCCAGTAAGTTTGTCTTACTCATTAGTTATCTTAATATTAGATTCAGCAGCAGTGAAACAAACAGGAGAAATTCCTATGCTAAGAAAGAATTGAAAAGTCAAGTTTAGTGACAGATTAGGACTCTTTCCAATTCTCCTACCTTTGAACCTATAATTTATCCTTTCGGCTTTTCTTACCAAGTGTCCAACAAAAGTTAAATAATACAAAAAGTAAATGATATGCTTAGTCCCACAAACTGGGAATATAATAGGAAAAATGAGATAGCACTTAATATCTATCCCAACTGTTGATACACATTTCAGCAATGGCTCCATGTCCGTACTCTGCTTGGGAGTTCTTTCCTACTCCGTCTGTGAGAGAAGTTCACCCAAGAAAGGCTGGTGAAATAAGACTGCTTTCTTAGAAGGAAGCTTGCAGTAATTTCTCAAGTTACATCTAAGTCGGAAAAAAAGCCTGGTTTTCCCTAAGGCATTGTACAGGACTGCCACTGCCGAATGCAGGGACTGGACATGAACTCAGAACAACTTTTAAAGGCTTCTTCATTGTCACCTGAAGACTTGGACAGGGCAGCTACTGGGCATACTTTTCAATTTTTTTTTTTTTGTTTTCTGAACTCAATATTTACATCTAGATTTCTCACATGAGAAAAAGTAAAACAATCCTCCTTGAACCATGGGCAAAGTTTACGTAAAATAAATTAAAGTGCAGACAATTATAACAATTGGTCACAAAGACCAGCATCCTCATGTAGCCAGGTGTATAAATATTGTAATTAACATTGCCGTACTGGACATCACCTCTTCCTGTCTGAGAAACACACATGCAAACCCTCGCAGATTATTACACGTGAACATTGGCACTTCCATTCCCACCTCCGCCTTCTAGGCCCTCTGCCGACTGGGAGGAAGGAGGCCGGGAGCTTCTGGGGTGC